AGTAGACAGAACCACATTCCCCAGGATTCCTATACAAGGTGTCAGTGCAGATGACAATGACTCCATCGTGAAGACGTGTCTGGATGGTGCTGAATCATTTCTCTGGAACATTCTGCTTTTGAAAAACAAATGCATAGCACACTGGTGTTGGTTTATGCTTCACGGTGTATTATTCTGTTTCATAGAGTATCTGTCACCAGGGTCAGGGAAAGGCTGCTGGAATGACATCATACATTATTATTATTATTTTTTAATGAAGACGTCTTTCCAGAGAGACAAGAAGGAAGATGTATATTGGTGTCACCCACATTTCTTCCTGTAACGTGCAGTTTGGGCATGATTGTTGGGTGACTGAGTGCATGGAGAAGGAGGTGGGGCTCCGATGAACTTAGATGTTGCCTAGAAGAGGACTTTTCAGCAGGTGGAATTATTTGTGGCTTTTAGCTGTGTCATGCAGCCAGCATGGCAATTCACCCTCTGATGTAATCATTTCAAGATGCAACAGGAACTTAGTCTCCTCTTCCATCTGGCCTCTTCCCTCGCCGCTTCTCCTCCAGGTGAAGATTGCAGAACTAGAACAAATGCTGGACACCTTGAATGAAGACTTCTTCCAGCTCACGGTGCAGATTTGGACAATCCAGAAAGAGGAGGACCAGCTGAATCAGGAGCTCAGAACACAACAGGAGTTGATCTCCTTTGGTGTAGGTGCATTTCATCCCTTCACTGCCTGGGAACAGCCTCGGTATTTGCATTGGGGGTACAGACAAACATATGGGCACAGCATGACCCCACACAGAGAGAGTGTTGTAACCCCAACTCTTTACAGCAGCACCATGAGGACAGACATTGCATTTCAGAAGACTTGTCCTGTTCAAACTCAGTTCACACTTAATGTGGCCTGTAAGCATGGTTGCTTCCAGGACAACACTTTCTGCAATATTAAACACTGTAAAGTTAAGAAACATGCAGTTGGATACCTGCCTCCATGGGAGATTGGTTCCAAGCCACCCCCATCCATGGATGCTGAAAACGTGGATGACAGTGAAAACTATTTTAATAGCAAATGCTATACATCACACAGCTTCTGACGCCCTCTAGGAGGTGTGTTTTTGTGTGTTTTGTTTTTAATGGAGGCCTGTTCCCAGAGAGACAGGGAGAACGTTCTAATAACCTCATTTTTAGAAGTATATATTTCTAGGATTTTTCTTTTAATATTTTCATACGTGGATAAGTGAATCAGTGGATACTGATCCGATGGATATGAGGGTCCTACTGTATATCTAAACACTCTAGACAATGTCTTGTTTTATAGGAGAACTAGAACACAATAATGGTTTATATGGGATGCCCAATTCCTACTTCTGGTTTAAATGGTCCAGTTTGTGAGTGGGCGAGGTTTTGAAGGAATTGGGATGAGAATAAACCATTCTGGATATTATTGGACTCCAGCTTCCATCATCGCTGAATAGTGGCCATGATAATAGTTTGAGATCTCTCCTGTCTGAAGGGCCTCAGGTTCTCTACCCCATCCTGTTTCTAGAAGATAATTTGCACATAATTTGGTCTTAATACAAGATCTATAAAATCCATACAATCCAATACACGGCAATACATTTATCTCTATGAATGATACAATTCATTCCCATAGTCCATGAAAGCAGATATTTTATTGAGCTTAAAAGATAGTACACTGGTACGGTATTGTTTTTTCTTTTTCCCAAAGTTGGTTTGTTTCTAATTGCTAATAGTCATATAATGTTCTTCAACCTTAAGTCTAAGGTAGGAGCTTTACAAAGGAAATCTGGAGGAAAGGAATAGTCATAAAAACTCAAATTCCCCCATTCTCCACTATACCTTACCTATTATTGTAAACTCAGTCACTGCATTCTTCCTTCTGCTTCCCTGCCCCACATTTCCAACACAGCCTTTCCATCATCTTCCTGGGGAGAAACTGCCACCTCTCCCGGAACACCTTGAGTCTTGGGCTGCCAAGAGGGACCAGAGACTCTTGCTAGAGATTAAGAGAAGTGTCACTGCACAAAGGATCGAGGCTGTTGAATCAGAACTGGCTCGTCATCTGAAGATCCAGAGTGGCCACCGGCTCTGACAGCTGAGAAGAGACCACCATGAACTGCATATCAACTAGAAGCGTTCAGTGGACTGTTCATTTGCTGTGGAGAGGGTGTCAATCCTCTGGTTCAAATGCTTCGCTGACTCTGTTGGGGCTTTAAGTGTGCAGCAGCAGTCAAGAAAGATTGAAGGCAAAACTTGTGACCCCCCCCCAGAAATGGGGGAGACCCACAGTATCGATGAGGGGGAACAGCATTTTTTTGGGGGGGAGAAAACATTTCAGGGGGAAGTAGGGAGGGCTGCTTTACCACTCACATACATTTATTTTCCAAATTTTTAAAAGATGCCCACGGGAGATCAGCAAGCTTGGCCCGCATCCCAGAACCATAATTAGCCATTTTGGCACTTGAGACAAGCAGCGCATAATGTGCCCCCGAACTAACTTTGTAATTCATGATGTGAAAATGATACAAGGAGTAATTACAGCCTAGAACACCTTGCCAGCATTTCCCTTCTTCCCCAGGGGGGACGGCGTCACTGTCAGAGCTCCAGGCTCCAGAAACAAACCAAGCGTGTGCTTTGTATATTAAAGTGTGTTTAATGTTTATAGTTGAGCGTGCCGTATATATACGAACACACCGGCATTCCGTAATGCAGCTCAGAGGTCTGGTCTGCCAAAGCCCGGGTGGGCATGCCCTGCATCAGGGGAGTCCAGGTCTTTCCATGATCCAGTTAGACTAGCCCCGTGTCTGAATGTCATTGCCTCTTCAAGGTCCAGACAAAATGCCTTGTCTACTGACCACTGAGCAGGATGGACATGCCCTCCATCAGGGGAGTCCAGGTCTTTCCATGGTCCGGTTAGACCAGCCCCATGTCTGTCATTGCCCCTTCAAGGTCCAGACGAAATGCCTTGTCTACTGACCACTGAGCAGGCCTGCTCTCCTCTGCCTCTGGTGGGCCTTCTGTCCTGAAAACCTTTCTTCTGCTCCCTCTGTAATGGAACGGCTGGGGCCTGCTTATATCTTTCTCCCAGGTAAGGGAAAACTCCAGTGGTCTCATCTACTTATTGTTCAGCCTACCCTCAATTGGTGGTTTACCCCAGAAATCCCGGCTTATCATTGTCATGTTGTACGGTCGTAGATCAGGCTGCGGTGGCATTTTTAGAAGCCCTACCCTAGTTATGGCCCTCCAGCAGCTGCAGAGTTCTTCCATGTGGGCAGTGCTCACACCCTTGGTGTGTGGTGAGCAGTCACATGAGCCAAGGCCCCACATCATCTTGCATGCAAGTCCAGCGTGAGTTGAGACGGCGCGTTCCCACAAATTCCTGACATGTCCCAGTTTCAAATGGAGATCGATGGAGGGAACCTGAAAATGTTGTGTGGTCTGTGCATGCCCTCACAAAAACAGGTGAGTACATGCAGTTTGGAATGAACATCTGCACGAGAAGGAAAGCACGAGAAACTAATGTATGGAATGCATGCGTACATGCATGCACACACATTTGGGAAATGCAACAATTCTTCCAGTAGAACAAGACGATATCCGTAAATTATCATCATTGCCCAAAACAGGGAGTCGAACAATAATCATGCCACAACCCAGTGTTCTGCCCGCACGCCTGTTTGTGCCAGTCGCAGGTCTTGCCTAATTATTTTCCATCAATGCCCAGGTTACTTTCAAAACAAAAGCAACAATAAACCCTTTGTTTGAAAAAGGAAATGGGGATTTCTCAGGAAAGTTGCTACCAAGGAAATACTGCCCAGTATCTCAAATATACTCAATGTCCATTACATTACATTTTGGGGCATATCATCTGCATCAGGCTATTTAAAGGGAGGGGTAGTTTATAGACAAAAGGGAACTTGTGTAGGATTTCCAGGAGTAGCAATGCACCGAAGGGGAATGTGTTCAGATCACTGAGCTGCATGCACGGACTAAAGGGGGCTCCATGCAAAGTTTCTGTTGATTAACTGCTGCCCTATTATATATGTTAGTTGTCTGTTCTTTTTAAAATAAACACGTGTAAAGATAGGAAGTTTCCTCCGGGGGAAAATGACAAAAGTAAAAACATTGATCTTGTATTTTTGAGATGCTACTTACATTGCTTTTGGAGAGGTGTCGTGTAAATATGGAAACACAGGAGAGCATGGTTGGGTCTCAAGTTCTCTGTTTCCAGTACACCTGCTATTTGTTCATGCGATAAACAGCAAAGTTGAAATCCAGGAAGCGCCACAGACAGGCCTGATAAGGACACTGCCAACAACTCCTGGAAGAACTTCTTACAGCTGACGAGAAACATATAACGTTCACATCAGCAAGCACTTCCTCTAACCTAGTTTTCCTTAGAATCTCATCCAGATGAATGCATGTGAAGGAGAAACGTCTCGGGGTGGGAGCCAGCGACAAAGACAAGTGGCTTTCCTTCTTCAGAAAGGCAGGCCTCTTTTCTGGGGAAAAAAAGAGGTCACATTTGCACAGCTAGTGCTCAAAAGTAGAGCGATTTGGTCCTTCAGCCAAGAAGGATTAAGAATGTTTGCCAAGACCTTTAGTGGAGCGATGTGTCGCCCTTGGAGAGGAAAACAAAAGAGCACCCAGCAACCAAGATATATGTACTCAGCTTTCAATAACAGAATGCCGGAGGAATAGTTCTTGATTCCAGTTTCATTTGCTAGGCTTTTTGTGCAGGACTGGAGGCGCAAGGTGGCAGATTCTGCTTGAATGTTGCTGTTCTCTTCCCCCCACCCCAAGAGCTGCTGAGCGCGCACTTCATGGTCAAACTGGATTTGGAGTTACTAGCAGCCATCTTGAACGCACACTGTTTTGGGTAACTTCAGGACCATGTGCATGTTCAGCTTGCAATGTTCCCTTTCTGTCTTGTCCATTTTGTGACCTTTTAAAGGGTGGCAACATGTTTTGAGTTCTTGTCTAAGGAAAAAAAAAGTAAATGTCAACGAGTACTAGAGAAAGGAAAACTAGAGAGAACTCGGGGTGAAGCAAAACTGACGTTCTTGCTTTCCTTTCTCCATTTCCTGAACATTTGTGAACATTCTCTCTATTTGCTTCATAACGATACAAAAATACTTCAACTGCATATATCTGTTTTTGCCATGATTCATTCCCCCTTTGTTCTCTCTTCCCCATCTCCTCCAGGGTGATCTGCAGAAATGTTTATAACTGTGCTTCATGGAGGTAAGTGAGCTTCTGGCCCTAAGTTTCTGTTGGACTGGACAACATGCAGGCATTCATTGTCCATGTGCCCACCCATTGGTTTTTGTAACCTCTTCCCTGCAAGGATGTGTACTGTTGAATTTTCCACTGTGCTTTTACCAAAAAAAGGAGTATACTTTTATTTCTAAAAGAAGGGACATGCTCCCTGTTTACCTTGTTTACAAACTGAATGGTGCTCTCAAAAGTTGCTGCTCCTTGTAAACAAGGTGAGTGGAGAGCCCGCACCTTGTTTAAAAGGCAGTTGGCATTCTTTTTTGCCACCACCCTCACTGCTGGCTCAGCATTTGATGAGCTCCAGTTTGCTCCCCCAACCTATAGACGTTGTCCACCTTTGTCTTATGGTAGCATCCATCCATCCATCCATCCATCCATCCATCCATCCATCCATCCATCCATCCATCCATCCATCCATCCATCCATCCATCCATCCATCCATCCATCCATCCATCCATCATCACCAGACTGATCAGCAATGAAGTCTGACCCAATGATCCTTCCAGCTAAGCTCCTCCTAAGTGGATGTAGCACAGGAAGCCTTGTGGCTCAGTGCAGTTCCTCTGTTAACAGTTTTGGATGAAATCAAGAAACTCAACCACAGTGCCGAGAAAAAATAATCATCAAAGCCTTCTTTATTACAGTATTCTGCAGCTGTCGTTGGTCAGGTTTGATTCTCCTATAAGAAATGGAAATAATATACAGTAAATTTGTCAGAGAAGAATTTATTTGCTTGGTTTTGATCTCATGAGCACACCTTGGAAGGCTGTAGACTTCCCTTTGCTGGAATTTTTAAACTAGCACTTGGGCGTTCTTCTGGCAAGGATGCTTTAACTATGAATGTTTGCACTGGCAGAAGATTGGGCAAGGTGACCCTCTGGATTGTTTCCAAGGTCTACAGATATGTGATCTAACCAGGCTCTGGACTGGTGCAGTAGATGCCACTGGTGTTTTGGATGGTCAGTATTGGGCTTCATAAGATTGGCAGAGTGAAAAACACAGACCTGGCCTACAAAGCACAATTTGGTAGATATTCAGGCACAGGCTCAAAAGCAAATATATGTTTGCCCACATAGAAAATCCACGTGTGGGCAAACAGAACAAAGTTCCATTGTTGTAATGTGTGTTACAACAATGGAACTTTTTTTTTCCTATTTGCCCATATATGGGTGGCCGGTGACGTGATGAGATCACATAGGATCATAGGCCTATTTTACCAGAACAATTATGGGTAATGTTTGGTATGTAGCTAAATGGGCTTTTCATCCAGCCTGCTTTTGGTAAAACCCAGTGGAGACAACTTTGCATCTTTCCCTTTCAGAGTATCGAGAATCACCTACAGTATGATTCAAAGCAGTAAGCATAGATGTAGAAGCCTTTCGCCATCCAGACTTTCATTGTCCTTTACCTATACAGTTGGTAGGCCAAATGTTTCTTGACACCTGCAGCGTACCCCAAAGAAGCGCTGTTTCTACACAAGGAATCTTCCCCAGAGATAAAACCAAACTGTAACACATCTGCTTCTGCTTTATTGGGATTGTGGACATTATGTTATATCAGCTGCTTTCAGAAACGGCAAAGGTTGCAATTTGATTTTTATAACAAGTTTCTTCTGTTTTGCCAACCTTGTGCACCGAAAGCTGCCGTAAGATAGTGATTATAAGGAATGAGGTGGGGCATCACTGGTTCCAAACCTCAGCCGAGCCAAGAACTCCATGGGAGGACTCAGTTGATGGCTTTAAGACTTGGCACATGGTCATGTGGGGATATTTTAATGCTATGCATGGTGTACAGGATTCTGATAAGGCTTACCAAAATAACCTAGCAGATCTGTCCTAATTTTTCTTGTTAGTCTCCTTGGCAGATGTGTTACTGAAAGGTGAGAGGAGAGCTTTGATTTTTTTTTTTTAAGCAACATATTCCAAAGTCTCTTTTGCAACTTTCCTTCACAGAAAATAAAGCAGAGATTTTTAACATTTATTGTAAAGTCCAGCTTCTGCTAGATGGCATAAAACAGCGCTGCGGCTGTGAAGATGAAGGTATGTGGGTTTTTAACACTTCTCTGCATGTGCATGGAGGTGGCTTTTTATAGCAATAGTTCATTTATAACAGTAAAACAAAAACAAAGAGACAGTTGTTTGTTTTTGCAAGACATCTCTTTCAGTGGCACAGAACTAAGGCGAAGAAGGTTCAAATAAGTCATAGAACCATAGAATAAGTCATAGAATCACTGCGTTGGAAGGGGCCTCTAAGGCCATCAAGTCCCACCCCCCCCTGCTCAAGGCAGGAATCCAAATCACACGAGATCTGATAGAAGGTGGTCCAATCT